AAAGAGCCAGTGCGTCCAGTCCCCTCCCAGCAAGCCTGGTCTTCTGTCCAGCGCGGAGCAGTGTGATGTGTAGGTCTGAGTAAGCAGACCAGGTAAACATTAACCCTGGTTTGCCATGGTAATGCCATGTCAGATGAATTACTGAGGTATCAGTGCTGTGCCTTCTGTTCACTCCGGTGATTTGTGGCTCAAATTATGCAAGAGTGTGGTTTCAAGTTGTTGGAAACCAGTACGTTGCCTCTGCACATGAGACTTTCTGCCGTGTGTTACCAGCTCAGGGTCAGATGCAATTACGTGCGAGTGCCTCCTATAAAACAGAGAGGAGATCTGGGCTGAGAGGCCTTGCAGGTATTTTCATACACTTTACCTGACTGCCTGTCACAGGAGCCATAAGGTTATACACGGAGAGGTCGAGGTACTCACAACAGCGCTGGATTCAGTGCCTGTGGCTCAAACCTCTGGTGCAGCATCGTGCTGGGCTGGGCTGAGCCCTCGCTCTCAGCGTGGTGCTGCTGGTACCCGCACGTGGCCACGCTTGCTTAGCCAGGAGGAGGGAGAGCGGAGGAGGGTGATGCGCTCGCCTGCTGTCAGCGAGCAGCACATCCCCAGCACGCTTCTGTCTGACGCTGGGATTTAGCAAACCCTGCGGTGGTGCAGTCCCGAGCGGTTGGGTGTATGGCAGTGACTCGGACCAGTGGTATCGGCACCGACAGCTTTAATGCCTTTTCTTCTGTTGTGATTCTCCTGAACATCGTATCTACCCTGTTCTAATAACTGTGGAAGTCATGAGGGGGCCTTTAAAAGGTTTGAAACTGCATTTCTCACGCCCTTTCTTCATGCTTAACTAAAACCACCCTGTGAACAGTGAAACTACAGTAATTTTTAAACAATGTTTGTAATACAGAGGATATTTTTAAGTTTGATGTATCCCTAGTACAGAAGAAGGTCAAGAACTAATCTGTGGTTTTACATAGCTGGAAAAGCGCTTGCAGGGCAGCAGAAGCTGCCAGGCAGCACCCCGGTGCACCAGGCCCCAGCAGCAGTTGTGGGGTGAAGGGGAGGCAGTTCCAGCCACTGCAGCCACCGATTGCAACTGCCAAGGCAGTGGCTCTTTCCTGGTCCTCCTGGGCAAATGGTCGGGGTTTGTGTAAATGAAACAGGTTCATCTGGGGCACAATAATAATATTGCACAGTTCAGATCTGATATAAGCAAGATTATGGCTTTGAGGGTGGCTGCAGCATGTGCTACAGGTTTGAACTGGGTGGCATATCCTCAGGACCGCGTGTTTGCGTCCTGCCTGATGCAGTCGCCTGGGGTTTGCCCTGGCGGTTCTTTGGCAGAAATATGGAAAGGCTGGGCACGGTGTTGTATGTTGGGCAATGTGGGTAACGGCAGCCATGCTGCTGGGTCCAAGAGTGTGCATGTCCCTGGCTCAGCTAGCACTAATGCATTGTCACATTCTTAAAACAGAAGATTATTAACAACTGCAACTGGCTGTGTCCTTCTGTTTCCTAGTCAGCTTTCTGTCTCTGAAATAACCTGCATAAGTGTAAGAACTTTTTTGCGAACTCAGTGTATAGTGCTCCTCTCTGTCTGGGATTATGGGAACAGGACACAGTATTGCTCCTCTGGGAAAAAGGAAGCATGTCTGGAGTCTTTCCTAGAGTAAGAATTTCTAGCTTCTTCCTGGGTAAAATTTACATAGATAAAAAAAAAATTATCTGAAAAATACAAATCTGATTGCTTGCAGAAGACCATGGGCACTTTTAATAATAGTGATGAGATAGAGGAGTGTGCTCCCCAGCTAGAACAGTTTTTAAACAGCGGTTGCCACCCTCAGACTGGCAGTGACAGCAGCTGCAGTTAGACACAGTGACTGACCTTGTGTTGCGCTTGTGGGCTGTTGCAATGTTGAGTAAAAGATAGCTGCCTAAAACCTCTGCTGAGGCTTGTTGGCCTCAGGTGCCATCCACAGAGTGTTTCCTGCCGTGCTGCAAAATGTATGGTGACAGTAGGTAAATAGAAATGCTGTTCTTGGGGACAAATCACCTTTTTGTTGGTGCAGTTCACCTGGTGTTTTGTAGTGGTTCTCTTGGTTTCTTCAGCAGTGTTGCTGCAATAGCTTCTGGTGCTGCATGGACCTTGTCTTGTGGACAAATGGGGTTGTGAGCCTGATAAACTGCCAGGTTTTGATTGTCAGTCCACTTGCTGAACTTGCAGTGGACTTGAGACTTTCGCTATTGACTTCCTTAAGGTTTTGGAGCTCTGCTGCACTTCATGAAGTGCGCTATTCATCATCTTTGTCTCCTTGGTTAGGAGAATAAATAAGGTCAAGCAATTAATGCTGGAGGGTGCATCTACCGCGCTCTTGAAAAGCCCGTCACCTGTGGGGTGTTCTGTGATCCCTGGTGTTGGAGAGTCACAGGAGCAGCCAGCCAGGACCCCAGGCCTTATCCCAAGAAGAGGAGGAAAAGTTAACTGCATTCTTATGTACCCCTTAGGTTGTCTTCATGTTTGCTTGTGGTGATCAGTGACTGATCCAAACCTTGCAGTGTTGAAGTTGACAGCTTAGTGCGTTAACCCACGCTACAAGCTGATGCAAGTCCTTGGGCTTCAGCCCACTTATCGCTGTTGGTTTGTAGCTCAAACTGACAAACAGCCCTTCGGGGTGCTCACGTTTGTGAGTGTTGTGTGCTGGATCTGGCTGGATCCAGTGCCAGATTTGGAGGGGCGGTGGAGGAATTTGTTTTACTGCGGTTGCTGGCAGTCATTTTTCACACGTGCACCCCCCTGCCTCCTGAAGTGCAGCAGCTGTTTGCCAGATGTGTGCGGCATCAGCATGCTCACACGTGCGAAGCAGGTAAACAGGGTTACCAGCCCTCTGTTCCTGAGGTGTGGCAGTTGATCTGGATCTTCAAACCCACCACACCACCCTTGGTCCTTGAATTGGGGGAGGAGTGGCAGGTTCATGCCGTACTGCCCTTTTTGACCCCGTACGGAGACAGGTGGTAAGCCAGGACATAGGTCTGGCTCCAGTGGAAATGGCTAGTTGTCACATTGTAAGCTTGCCTTCTTAATGTGCATGTGCAGATACAGGGGAGTCCACATGGATTAGGTCATCGCAGAGCTGTGGTTGTGCTAGGGTGGTTAACCCGTCAGCCCAGGGTCTTCCAGACCTCAGTCTCAGAAGCATCTGAGAATAACAGAGGAAATGTATGCTGGAGTTTCAGATTGTAACTCCACTTAATCATTTGCCAGGCAAAAGCCTGTCTAAAACCTTACCCTTAATATAAACATTGCATGTTTTTCATTTTAAGGGGTATTAAAACGTTCAGGATAGGGAGGTAGATGATACAATCACAGAAAGTCTTTCTCCAGCACGTGATGATAAAAGTGCTTTGTATCATGATAATGCCTGTGTATTGTGCAGGAATTTCTGTTCCTTAGACAGAAATGTACCAAATACTTAATTTTCTTTTTGCTTCCCTCATCTTTCAACAGATATCTGTCTCTGGAAATGTAAAGCTAACAGTTAGACTGGGCTGATGAGTTTGGTTGCTGCATCTTGAACATTTATTTTTTCCTTATGCTCTGGCGTCTGTTATTCTTTAGCACAATCACACTGAATATCAATTAGGAGGCGGGAAGATGATTGTGGAAAACTTGGGTGAGGGGGATGAAATGCTGAGTGGTATTTCGGCCCTTTTGAGAGCTGATACATGTTTTCTCTGAACTCTTTCTGAACTTTGAAAACTCTTGAGTATTAAACTACACATACTCTGCAGTGACAGGAGATTGTGAGATCCCGGTGGTTTGCCTTCCTCTCTCCAAAATCACAATAAATGGTCTCTTCCGCGGGCAAGAAGACAAGACAAGCGGTCAGTGCCAAAGTTATTTGGCAGATGGTGCTTGAGTAGTGAGCAACATCATCATTTCAAGCGTGAGGCACATAATGGATGTCTACCGGCCGGGCGGATGAGACCCCCAGTGTTACATGCTTCCGTCTCCCATCCTGCAAGATGCTGCCATCTGTCATGACACTGAGCCAGGCCTCACTTAAATAAATAAATAAACTGATCCATTTCCTCCTTCTTTCCAAAGCTCTTGCCATCTCTGGGTTAAATAAAAGCCATGTGTACATACGCTATGTGTGGCCGTATGTATGTAATATATGTGAGGGAGGGGAGACTATAGGTACAAATACAAGAAATGCACCTTTAGGTTCTCTTAGTTGGGACAGACGATGCTAATGCATGGTGAACAGTTTCAGGAAAATGCTGTGTACTGTTGTAAGTGCACTGTACACCAAGGGCAAACAGTAATGGCTCGTTGTGAATTAACTGCCTCTTTCTCTCTCTTTCGGCAGAGTGTGACAAGCTGAGGCGGGATGGCTACCGAAGCTCGCAGTATTACTCTCAGGGCCCCACCTTCTCCTCGTCCTCCAGCGCAATCTGTGGAAGTTACCAGGATGATTATGAAGAAATTGAACAAAAGGTAATGGTGCTGGAAAGAATACGTGCTTGGTGCAGTTTAATTGCCTGCCATAACATTGTTCAAATAAGGTATGATTTTTAGAAGGTTGTAAAGATGCTTATTCTTTTGAATTACAGTGATATTAGGTCGATTGACTTCCGTAGTCTCTTAAAAACCTCAGTTCTACCCATGCATTTATATAAAGTTCCCACTGCCACAATAAAGGTGTGAAAGCCAGGAGGAGCTTGGTGATGTTCTGCAAGGAAGACCGCAGGAAGGGTAGCTGTTTTGAATCTGTGAAGTATTTCCATTCAGGCAGCAGGAAGAGCTATTAACCAGCCATCAGTGCACTAGCATTGTAACGGGGACATGTGCGCGCTTTGAATTGCTAATGCAGGCAGTTACTGGGTTTCATTAGGTAGGCGCTTTGTCCTAATGCATCGCAACTGTTGGCGCAAAGGCATCCAGAAGATTGAAAGATTGCCCACTAAACTGGGTTTATCAGCTTTCTTTCAGTCTGCTTCATGGTTTTAGCATTTACATGCGCATGTTTATGTTTTTGTGTTTATGTATCTCAACTCCGTGCATGCTTAGCTTAGAATCTAGAAATTAAACAAATAAAGGAAGAGAAGGGAAAGTTCAGCACAAGTCCTGAGAAGGTTGTGAAGACATATTGTTATATACATCAGTTTATATGTGTTTCAATTACAGAACTAGTAAGTTGCATTAATGTTGTAAAGGAAGAACAGGCATTTTGCTCCTCTGTCCTGACCTTACCCTGTTGTGCCCGTGGACTCTGAAAGGGAAGCTAATTTTGGCCTTGCGGGGTAGGACATTACTGCGGGGGTGGACACTAAGGTGCACTGGAGCCTGGCTGTCCACGCCTGAAATGCTGGAGCTCCTGGGGTTTTCGAGATAGATATTCTAGAATACTTTGCCACAAAATACTGTTGCTTAGGGAGTGGGAGGATATCCTTGACTGTAACGGTTTAATTTCTTTGAATCATTACTAAACCGTGTGTGCCTCCGTAGCACGGACCAAGTAACTCTTCCTATACAAAGTGTGCAAATCCTAATAACTCACTTTAAAGGGTACACTGTTTTCAGTTCTGTCCTCTGTGGTTTTTAATCACATAATAAAAGGTGTTGTGGAATATGTACAGTCTCTCAGACAGGTGGTGATTGCATTATATCTGTGTGTTGGCAGGGAATGTTAGAGCATCTTGTTTAGCTGCGTGTGGTATGTACTGGCAGTGAGAAGAGAATGTAAAGCACACTCATACTGTGGAATGCATTATAATGGTAATTTGCAAAACCGTACTGAAATCAGTGAAATTATGGTTTCCACTGGGGGAAGTATTAACACATTGTTTGTTGCTATTAATGTACTGCATGTATATGCATACATAGCAGTATCAACTGGTCTTATCCAGTGCGGTGCCGCATATGACCATCTGCACATGTAAAACTAATGCAAAATTTTAGAAATACAAATACACTTTTTTTAACAATTTGAATGAGAGCGTATAAGCATGGATGAGGCCTCTTAGAGACTAAGAGCTTTCATCCTTGGTTAAGAGTTTTTTTGAGCGTTAACATGTTACTAACAATTTCTGTGCTTGTGAAAAAATTGATGCAACTAATTATGCTTTAAGGATAGGCTAGCACTTCCATTTCAAACTGGAACTGGTTCCTCCAAATATTTTTAGCTGAAAGGATGATTCAGAGCTGTGGAGAAAGATAGTTGCCAAATTGACAGTCTTGGATGTTAGTGATTATCTCAGAACCTTAATCTTAAACCTGCCACTCTTATTTGGAGCTTAGAGAGTCATTAATCCCTTGTAAAAGGTAGCATGAGTCTCCCTTCATATTGTACAACTGAGTGTTTAGTGGTGTCCTTTGGCTAGTATCTTTTTTCAGTTGACATTTTTGTAACAGCCTACAATTTTACTCTTTTCTTTAAGTGAAGGCTTACCACAATAGATCTCTGAACTTGAATTACAATCTTGCTGGTGAAGTGCCAAATAGTTCCAGTAAGTCTTATGCCTTGAGCGAGTCGTATTTCAGCTGTCAGAAGAGTTCTTCAGTGACAGTGTGGAACTGGGGTCACCAAAATCCCGTGATTCAAAATGTGAACTCCTCACCACTAGATGAAAGCTTTGTAGCCTATTCAAAGCAAAAACCCCCAGCATTTAAATTCTGTACATGCAGTACTTAATAGTTGAAATTTGAGAGCAGCAGAATAATGATGGATGGATGAATAGCTGTTTACTGTTCAGAAATTTGCTTCTAAGCTGACATAATTGCCAACTTGCAGAAAAAACTGTATTTTGCTGCATGGTGATTTCACAAAGGAAGACGTCTTTTCCTACTCTTTTTAATTTGCCTTTTAAAAAAAGTGTAGCCAGATACTGCACTTGTCTGTCTTCGTTGGAGACATAATATGAAACCATGGGTAGGTGATGTGAGAGGAGATCTCAATCCACAAACATTCTCAGGTTTTGTGGAGATGGATGTCTGTCACCAGAGGGTAATATTCATACCACAAAGCACATGGTTCAGCGTGAGTCTTAGAAAACGTCTAAGATAAGCAGAACATTTGAAATTCCAAAGGAAGACCGCTAGGGATAAGCAGCCAAGTTAGCCCAACTCAAAAATAAACAAAGAAAATTACAAAACACAGAAAGCCGAAGTTCCAGAATGGTAGTTGATATAAAATGAAGTTCTTGGAACTACCCTTTTACTCTTAACATTGATTCTTACGAGTTACATTAATGGAGCACAGGCCAAGCCCCACTGCAGTACCGATCCTAATGGAGTTTGGTGGAGATTAAATTGGTTTATCTGGATTTCGCATCTCAGTAGTGTGAGCAGCGTCCTTCTTTCTGATCTCTTGCATACCACTCTTGGTGATGCGACTTGGGAGCTATTCCTGTCCTTCAGTATTGCTCTGTTTTCCCAGTGTCAAAGATAGATTGAGATGCCCCTTTCAAACTCTGTTTCCCCTTATGTTCTGAAATGTATACACTGTGTGTATTAAATGTATTTGTCTTCTGTGTGTTTTTTTCTCGTTCTTTCTTCTTTCCCTTTTTATCACTCATTCTCTTTGTTTCTTTTTGTCTCGCTGGACAGTCTAGTCTGTTAGACTGCATCTCTCAGTCTTGCATTAGCGCCTGCTGTAACTTGGGTCCATGGAGCAACAAGGTACCTTGCCCACGAGTGGGACCATCCAGCTGCAGTATCTGCAGCTTGATGTTACTTGTAGCATTTAGCACTTATGCAGTCGTGTTCTGCTCTTAGCCTCCAGTCGTTACCTGCTTCTGTTTTCCTTTTAAAAATAAAACCCACCAACTGCTCAACAGAAGAATGTTGTGCCAGGTTTGTTTCCTTTATTTTTCCTCATTACTCCTTTTTGTCGGCAGTCCAATATCTGCTGTTTACTTGGTTCACTGAAATGTTTTAAATCCTTTTTGTCTGTTAACATTTGTCTCCTTTGAAGCCCCTCCCCCAGTGAACACTGTGTTTAATATAATAATATATGTTTATATTAATGTTTATTTTAATTGGCTGCTTCACTCGTTTTTAATCAGCCAAGGAAAACCTTTACTAATTTGGAGTAATGTATTTTTCTTAAATGATGAATGTGAGCTACAGAGAGGACTTGCTCCCAGGCATGCAGTATATCATGTCTTTATTCCGTCTATGAAAGTGTTTGCATGCAAAAAACTCACGGTATCTTTCCCCAGGTCCTGTAATTTGGGTTATGAACTTGCCTTGATACAGTCTGTTAAGCTTGGGGTGCAAAAACATTTATTTTGTTTATTCATGGGGGAAAAAAGTGCATTTTTGGCACTGTACTCAGCCAAACTTAGTTGTCTCTTCAATATCTGCAAGAGACTGTTAAGTACCTTTAGTGAAAACAAATGCATTAACTGTATCGGCTTGAGAGACTTGAGGAGGTCTAATTGAAAATTCTGCTTGGTGCTAAGAGGGGCTAAAGCAGTTGGGCCCTCCAGTCTGGAGCTGGGAACGACCGGGAGCTCTGAGGCGTGGGCTCTGGCAGAGCTGGAGATACATGTAGGTGGTGGTGGTGCCCTCAGCTGGCCACCCTGCCCCTCTGCTGCAGCTGTGGGGGGTGCTCTCGTAACCAGCACCTCTTTTAGACTACTTCGCTTTTTTTTTTTTTTAATATTGCTCCATTTACTGAGTTGAAACAGCAATACAAAGCATGAAATGCCAAAGCGTAAGCAAGTACAACAACTCTTTGAAGAAACAAAAGAGGGTAATTCTTCACTCGCCACGTACTCACGCTGTGCAATTGCTGCAAGAACTGTGGATGCTGAAAGTTTGCATGGGTCCAGAAAGCAACTGGGTAAATGCTTGTGGGGGGGAGGACTCCATCCAGTGCTGAGAGAATATTCAGGAGAAGATATCCACTATATGCATCCTCTGATTTAATTTCACCTGCGTATCACTGATTGGCCATTATCATAAGGCAGATACTAGGCAGCCTTTTAGAGCTCTGAACTGATACAGTACAGCTCTTCTTATTTTTTCAATCCCATTGCAACAGAGGAAGAAGAAAGGAACATTTCTGAAGTGCTGGTTAAGGTGATAACTTGCTTGATGGTCAGTAATTTCTGCCAACAACAACAACAAAAATTCCATCCTTACTGAGACAGTGAAGGCTATGAAGTGAAGGATTTAGTAGAATAGCAAAGCTGGCTAATGCAGCTGAAGATCTGTGTTTAGAAGTACTAAAAGGGAATATTCTACAAAAACTGGGGGGACTAGACTGGGGACCTTGGTCTGAGGACACAGACTAGAGCAAGACATGACTAATTCAGCTTAAGTGTAAATTCATGTAAATGTGTCATGTGGCAGCGTTCCATAACACAGTGTGAAACCTGATGGGTTGAAGCAGGCACATAAAATGACATTCTCAATTAACCAAGAAAGAGGAATGTAAAGGTTTGGGAGTTGAGTTTTTTTCCTGTGCTGTTGTTTGTCTCGATCCCTTTGCGTTGGGTAAAAGAGCACTTGAAGGCATCAAACCTAGTAAAAGGCTGGAGAAGAAGTAGGACATTGGCAAATAGTAATTTTTGTTCTTCTGAGAAATTTTTATTTTTGAAGTGACTGCAGTAGACAGGTACAAGACATGACTATAAGTTTGAAATTCCTTTGCTGAAAGGTAAAATTTGTAAGGATTGAATTTTCTTCCCGGAGGTGCATCTTTTTTCAGACAATGTAGTATAAACCTCTGGAATATAAAAGGATTAAGAATAAACAGGGTATTTAGTAGAGCGGGCTGGGAGATACTCAGCAGATACTCACTCGTCATCTGGGACCTCTCAAATACCATGAATATGCTGAGAAGGTGAAACCCTTTTGTTGTATCTCAGCGGCTGAGTGGGCCGGGGGACAGTGTGTCAACAAGGCAATGGCAAGGCTCTGGCTTACTGAGCCGTGTAGCTTGTCTATAGGGTATTTATAGGCCATTTCTCTTCTGGATTCTCATTTTAACTCCCACTTGAAAGTTCATGCTTTTTCCCCTCTAATGCATGTTTGTGGAAACACTGCAAGGTCTGAAGCTGTTGCTTTCACATCTCATCCCACCTTTCACTCTTCCCTGGTCCATTAAGAAGGATGGATTTCAACGAATTTTCCTGAGGAGATGAGTCTTAACATGCCGTTGCACAGAAATTTGGCCATTTAAGTCTAGCAATAAAGTTACCATGAATCAGAGACGCTTTAAAAATGGGACAGGTGCTTTCTATTCTATTATGAACATAGTGTTTATGATCAGCTTTGCTAAGCAGGTACGTGATCTCAAAGTACTGCCTAGTTCATTTCTGTTTCTGATATAGCAGACCTTATTTGAGAAGAGTTTCCTATTTTACAGCAGCAATTCACTGCATCTTCCAGCACGCTTCTGTGTTGTAAATCTGGGAATGTTTGCTAAAAATATGTAAATCCCTATTTTGATCCTGATTATAGAGGTAAATAATTTCTATGTGAAGAAGGCTGAAGGCTGAGCTGCTGTTTTCCTCTATATACAATAAAGTTGTATATGCCTTGGTCATGCCCATTAAAGGTATCTTCACATCAAAAAAATGCTATACCGCTATCATTGTGAGTACTTTGGAAGAAAGAATGTAAGTAGAGACAATCATGCTTCTCCAGGAACCGTGGTAAGTGTACTTGCAGATGAAACGTGGACGTTTCTTCCTACACCCAAAACTGCCCGCAACTCATTACTGAATTATTTTGTAGAAGTACACACCACTGTTGTATGGCAGAAAATCGTTCTTACCGACATGGTGCTTTGACCTCAACTGCATGATTGGGTTTTTAGTTGCTTGTCATTCGTTATTTGCTCACTGGGCTGATCAATTTCTGTCCATCTGTCACCAATTTTCTCAACTTTTATTTCTGCAGAATTTGTGATTGCTGCTCCACATTTGTTTGGATAAATAGGATCCCCTTGTAGTAGATGCTTTAGTTCTTCAGTTATTCTGTCGATTTGTATACTGTAACGGAAAATGAGTTCTGCTTGGTTTGGGTAATTTCCTTGGAAAGGAAGGGTGGCTTTGTAACCAATATCTCTGCCACTTGACATATTGGAGTAGCCTCTGGTGATTGCTGTATGACAGCTGAGACCTGGCACTGCAGTACAGTCCGAGTGTGACAGATATTGATGCTGACAGTATCGCCCAGGCAGAATATCCGAAGGTTGGCGGAGCTCATCCTCACCCCAAGCAAACTGCAGAACCAAGCTTGAAGCGTCTCCCTTGGTGCCCCAGTGCAGACAGGAGAAAAGCTCACTGTAAAATGGGGAAAGCGATATTTCTCTGCCTTGCCCCTGACTGCTCCTTGAGGTACGCACACAGGTGCCCTCTGTGGTGCTGGGGTAGCATCCCCATGCGGCGTTCCTTACAAACCCTTTCTGTCTCTCAGCTGTTTTTAAACCTAATTGGAGGGAAGCATGGCCTGGAGGCAGCTTTCCCCTCTGCAATGGCACTTCTTTCCCAAATTGCTTGAGTTAATGAAGGTTTTTATGAGTTTGAGTGATTTGAGGTGGGGAAGTCTTTGTGTTTGTGTGTAAGTATGTATACATATGTGTGCCTGCACTATACATGTATGTAAACAGTGTATGTACACACACTCATAAAAAGATGAGCATTCACATTGTATTTTTATAGGAATGGTTTTAGTGTCTTCTAAAAACAATGCAGGCCTGAAGGAATATTGGTGTCTCCGAGAAGCTTATATTGAAAGAGTTTCTGGGGCTTTCACAGGGCTGAGCCCTTTCCTACAGAGCAGCATCTATCCCATTCACAGCCTCTCGAGTAAAGAAATGCAAGACTGACAGAAATGGATTATTTCCTCAAAGAAAAGACCCCGTGTTTTAAAGTGTGGTTCCAAACTGCAGGATGACACTAGTAATAATTTCATTGCCTGAAATGTTTTTTTGTTACTACCTGAAGAGATTTTACTTTTCAAATCTTTTACTTTTTGCTGGGAAGTTGCTTTTATTTTTATTTTTTATTAGATAAGATGTTGGGCCATGTCCTAAAGGATGTAGAGTCGAAGCATAGTAGAATAAATAAATGGTTATTTATTTATAAACAGTGGGAACTTCTCATGGTAACAGGAAGAAAATTAAAATCAGAAATGATAAACAGTGGTTGCGGCACCGTGTCTGGGCATGTCTTTTGTTACAGCGCTCAGCTTCAAGAGAAAACAGATCACTTAGACCAAAAACCCATAATAATGAAAAAAATCCATCTGTTATAAATAGCTATGAAGTTTCTTTCCATGCCTATGTACAGCAGCGATCCAGTGCTGATAGCCTTATTTTGGGTAGTATTCTGCACTCCAAAGGGAGAGAGGTATAAAGTGAAGGGGGGGAGGACTGTAAATCTGGTCTAGTGGTAGAGAGCAAGGTCCACCATGCCGAGCATCCCAGGCAAGTGCTCCTGAAGCAGAGGTGTCAGGAGGCTGCAGAGATCTCTGCCAGCACTGCAGCTGCCATTCAACTCCTCTTACACGGTTTTCTTCTCTTTTTTTGTTTTGCCTGGGGGCAGGAGGAGGCGAAGGTTGGTTTTTCTCCAGGTCTTCTTTCCTCTCCTGCTTCTGGGATTGCCTGGGGTGCCTTGCTGGCAGGAGCGGGGAGGAGGGAAGGCTGCTTCTCTCAGGGGTTATTTGTGAGGGTGTGTTTTGCTCTGCAAGCAATCGTGCTGAGTGTAGCAGCAATAACTTAGTAATACCATAGTGCTACCTTTTTTTTTTTTCCTAGTAAACGTATTTTTTGCATATATTTCTGTTTGTAGTGTCCTGTCTCTTCCCCAGAAGAAGAAAAGCTTATTACCATCAAAAGGCCTAAAACTCCAGTTTCAAATGAGTTATCAGATATCAACACCCAGACCAACTGGACTAAGTCACTCCCACTGCCAACGCCAGAAGAGAAAATGCGACAACAAGCACAGGCAGTCCAAACAGATGTGGTTCCTATTAATGTGACTGGTAGGCTTTTAATTTCTGTAATTACATTACGCTGATGAGGGAGGGAAGGGATAAAAGGGGATCCGTACAGTTGGATAGTATTTTGACACTCATATGCATGAATTTTAAATTACTTAGTGCACCTCTCTGTGAAAACAGTGTTTTGTGTTTAGTAGTTCATCTCCAGACTTAATGAGAAAACCATAAAATCCCTTAAAATGATCATTAATGAAGATAGTCTACACAACGTGGGCTTGAAACAGCATTAGGTATTCATGAAATACAAGAAGAGGATTGATAAATAGCTGTGTTTTGCTGTGGACTGCACTGAAGATATGTAGTGGGAAATAATGTTTTATGCAATGCTAATTGGTACTTAAGGATTTTCTTCTAGGAATTTTATGTAGGGAAGGTTATCAGGGACTTCTGTGTTCCAAAGATGAAATGTTACAAAATTCAAGAAAAAGAAGTGCTAGGGTATTATTTTTATCAGAAACAAGAGGTTTAGTTGTCCAGGTGAGTAGGGTAAGAACAGCGAAAGTTAATGGGGCTACATCTACAAGCAAGACTCTTGGTAAGACACTCAAGTTATGTGACAGTAGTCCACGTTTTCTTTTTATGAACTGTGTATTAACTCTTCATTTTGAAAATGCTCGTTAGATTTACAGTTGCAGAACTCCTATTCTGTGGAAGTTAAATTATGTTAAAGCATAATGCTGAATAGATACTTTGTGGTGTGTAAATAGAATTTCTGTGAAAGACTGAATTATCACTTCAGTTTAATAATCCCTCTTTTTCAGCACAGTATGAAGATTGTCTATTATTAGTTAATTCAAATAACTGAACGTTTGCCTGCCAAAACCAGGATGATACTCAATATCCAATTTATTTCAGATGCCATATGGCGTGCTTTGACTCCGTCCTCACTCTTGCAATCAATAGCTTGCAATGTTTGGTTTTGTTTTGAAAGTGAATTAGGTGTTCTCTTTCTCTGCATGACTACCAATAATTCTTTCACTTATATTTTTATAAACTTATATTTTAAATAGTATTATTTAATAGTATTTAAATATTTAAATAGTATAGGAGCAGTACTTCTGTGACAAACATCAGAGAGCTGTGAGAAATCAACAGGAAGTGTTTCCTTAAATAAACAGCAGAAGATATTTTAAATAAGTAGTATGAAGACAACAGAAAGTTATGAACACTCCACCTCTGTAAAATTAATAGCAGGAAAATAAATGCAAAGCCAGAATGTTACTAGGCCAGTTGGCATTATCTAGGGAATGTAGGATACAAGTGCAGAAGGCCAAGTTATGGAAACAATAGATAATCTAGCATGATCGATAAGCTTGAGCAGGGCTTAGATACTGCGACAGCAGGAACAGGGTATACTTGCAGAAACAGTAATCTGCTGTTTGATATAATGAGCCTGTGTACAGAAAATACATGGTGGAACTAAACAAAGATGGGGTAAAAGAGACCAAATAACCCTTATAGATATAACTCACTGTCGCTGGTAACATTACTGTGTTTGGATGAATTACACTTGTGACTTCAACCAGTTTAATTTGACTGGTGTAGCAAACCGTGTGTCCCTTGAATTGTTTGGTTTGCCCTTCGCAGACTCAGCAGTTCTCAACTTTTCTGATAAAAATAGTGCACGTGCATATTACACCTCACCTTTCTGGAGTGTGCTATTGAGCATTTATTCCCATATAAACATGGTAATTGGAAGGGATAGAAGGGGAGGGCAGTAAAGGAAGACTGCTGTTGCAGTATGTGGACTGGTCTCTGGGATCCACCGCTTCCTTTCCCTTGGAATGATCATTTTGCCACTGTGCAGCAAGGCAAGCGACGGTAGCAGACTATGATCCACACAACACACAAAAAAAGCTGCTGCCCTTGCTCCTCTTTAAAAAGTCACAATCTGCTCCCCTCCTCTGCCCTCCCACACGCCGAGTAATTTTATTTTGTCAAGTTCCCTATGTTACTGCATGAGGCAGGAAAAAAAAGACCAAGAATTCAGTGGAATGAACCATCACTGTTTTTTGTTTTGATTTGGATTTTTCCTTCGCTTGCTCTTTTTTCTCATTTTCCCAGAAGAGAGGTCAAAAAACTTCCATTTATTAGTCCTGGCATGAAATAAAAGGTTAACCTCCGAAGAGGCTGCTGGCGATTGACAGCGTTTTCAGCAGTGCATTAGTAATGATTATGCTACAGTGGCCTCTAACGTGGCTGTGCAACAAATGCTTCGTGAGCTCAGGTTTCGGGGCTCTTCGGTGAACAGATTGCAACTAATACAGTAGTAGTAAAAGTCCATTGGATGGCCTGAAGGTGCAGGGGCATGGCATTAGGCTGACAAGCTGCTCACTAGGCATCCAGATTTGGAAGCAGTTTCAGTCTTTGGGAGTGCCTGGGCTGAGCTTATTCTGGCCTGGAAGGGCTTGGGCTGAATTTTCAGTGGTGGCCAGTCTTTGCTTTTACATATCCTATAGGTTAAAAGATGTATAATGGTGTCTGCTCTTGTGAGTTTTCTGGAACTAACTTGCTTTCCAGATGGAGGAATCTGGTGATGGTGGAGGTGATCAGCGTCAGGCTGGATCCTACAAAACATTTAAGCATTTGCTTGCGTCCGGCTTGGCTGACTTCAGTGACATTTAAGCACATACTTAAATATTTTCAGTGGATCCAAGTAAACTAAGTAAACTGTATGAGGAATTTGTTACAGCCTGTAACAGAAGGAGAAAAGTAACCTAAAATCTGCAAAATATATTTAATGTTAACATCAATGTTTTCTAAAAAAAAAAGATGACAGGAAAGGAAAAAAGACTGAGACATTCTGATTTTGCTTGTTGGAATTTATTGAAGCTGCTACTTTGAAATTCTACAAATCTGCACAGTGGCTTTCAAAAAGCTTTTGTGTATCAAAAGCCGCTGAAGATGGATTGGTTGAGTTAGCTCATGGGTAGCTCAGGGGAAGAAGTTACTGTGGATCACATGACACAATAACATCTCCCCGTGGTCATCCTGTTTGTGCTGTCTGAGGCTTCATGTAAAAGACTCTCTCCTTGTTTGCGCCCTCTACTTACCATTTACATTTTATTCCAGGGCATTCAAAGCTGTATTTTAATTTTCTTGCAACTCACCATCTCAGGCATCGTTGTTGGCCTTTGAATGGATAAAATAATTTGGATTTTTTATAATGTGGCTAGAATTATTATTATCCTACATGGCAGGATTATCTAATGGTCCTGACCCTGACCCCGTAAGGGTCTGAAGTGCTGTCTCAATATTTTAGGACTTCTGTTGAGCCTGTGGGATCCATAGCTCTAAGTTTCACAGATCCCATGGGCTTCCTCCTCCTTTAATTTGTCCTGAGTTCAGTCAACCTGAAACTCAGATGAACTGGCACTTCCTTGTAGTTGCAACGATTCTGCTTTGCATGAGCGCAGCTCACAGAAGCACAAGGCTCCGGTCAAACAGAGTCAGAGTCTTTGTATTTACAATATGGTGAATTAAACTGCTACATTTTTTCCTTGCATTTTCACAAGTCCACATGCTACACTTTAATGTATGACTGTATCTTTAACTGTTATAGAGGTAATAAGGTTTTCTACGCTATTTGCATGACACACATCATACTGATGTGTAGTCAGTCAGGGGTAATATTTATGACATATTAGTTACTATGCATTAATCACTTTTTAGAGGTAAATAATTTGGTCATATAGTTTCAAAAAAGTGTACAAGGTTAAAACGTATACACGCATAATCGTTTTTTTGGCATTTAACTTTTAAATGGGTGATCTAAAGGACACTTGGCAGTGCTTTAAAATGCTTTAACTTCTAAAAAGGCAACTTAGGTGTGAGGTGAGGGCGGTGGTGGTTAGATTTTTAGAAGTGGCAGAGAATTAACTTGGCTGACAATCTACAGGGCAAGTTTTATTTTGCTACAAGTAAAATGGCCAAATTATAATCCTCTAAACAGAAGTGAATTCCCAAAGAAAAGCTGCTCAACCTTAATGGTAGTGTTGCTTCTGGGTCCCATTATGATACAGCACATGGTCATCATAAGGCTTTGTCTGGCAACGTGCACTTACACACACATTTCTTCAGCTCTTGCCCTTGTATATTTTTATAATAATCTATAAAGTTTCAATTTTAAGCAGCTTCCACTCTGGCTGAAATATTTATGAGACCACAAGATCAGTTTGATCTCTGCATGCTCCATAGTACTTATTTATATTCATGTTAAAAGATCATCACCAGAAATGTGGTACACTTGACAGGTTCAGAGCAACTTGGAATGAAAAAGAAGCATCTCGTGTGATTTAATGATGGAGCTGTGCAAAGAAGTTGTAATAGCTGTTGCCAATAGCAATGTCTGTTCTGTATAAACCATCGTGATCTTTTATTTTCATGAGCAGATTTGCTTTTTCTGCAGCTCATTACTTTAAAAAAACCCAAAAACCAACACACGAAACAAAACACAAAAAAACCACAAAGGGACAAATTCAAGCAAGGATTCTGATCACTTGTAGAATTAGAGCTGCTCTTAGCAGATCTGAACTGGGCTCAGGAAGTCAAAATTCCTTTTAAAGCCTGCAGTACTGTGTAACAGATTTTTGTGTCTAAAGCCTTACTGTGACGATATGCTGTATCTTCCTTCAGTGTAAACCTTCATGGTAGGACCAAGCTAACATCATTTATTAATGCCTTTTTTTCCATTTCTACAAGAAAACTAGTGGAAGAAAGTGCATGATGTCAGCGTGCTTGGAAGTAATGTTGCTTTGCTTGTTCTACCATGTATTAGGGGAGAATTTCGACCGCCAAGCCAGCATTCGGCGGTCTCTAATTTACACAGACACGGTGGTAAGACGGCCGAAGAAAGTCAAAAGGAGAAAGACTATTACAGGAATCCCTGACAACATACAAAAGGAGCTAGGTATGGCTCATCAGAACTGTATTCCATCCATTGTTCATTGTCACTGCTTATCATTACTCAATTAATAACATTA